TCCAAAGAATCAATATAATACCATATAGTAATGAAACGGGTGATTTAGACCCCTATTCAATACTAAGCAGACTTGACAATGTTGTCCCTTGAATGAACTGAGAAGTGAAGGGAAAACTCTTCGTAGCTTATTTGGTGTGCTGCCTCATCCACTGGTAAATTTGCATGTACACATAAAAAAGAGACTGTAACAACAGGATAATAAAAAAACAACTAAATTTTCATTCCAGAATGTTAAAAAAAAAAAACTTAAGAAATGCCATCATTTCCTCACCACCTTAAGTATGTACTGTACAGTAATTAGTTTCATGCGATGCTCGCGACCGTTTTGCAAGACCAGGTATAACTTTTCTTCAAATGGTGGATATCTTCCGCAACAAAACTTTCTGAACAAACAAACAGACTGACAAGAAAATAAATAAATATATAAAATATTGTCAGGCAGCAGGCAGCTTTCACTCTATGAGAATAGTGCTGCCGCTGCTGCTCAAAGGAGGAGAAGATCTTTGTGGAAACTGCAACTCTCCATATGGAGCCACACTTATAGTTTCATTTCTTTTGTTACCTTGACAGTTGGGCCAGCAGCTGAAGCTTGCTTAGCGACGGGTCAAGGACAACTTGTTGTTAGAAACACAATGCTATGATTGCGAGAAATATAAGGACCCACAACATCTAACTTGAATTGTGAACTGAAAACTACTGTATGTATGTGTCATGATTTAAACAATAGCTGTACTTTATTTATAACTCTTTGATTTGAAAAGAGCTATGGGAGGAAATATGAATCAGGCTGTCCATTCCCATTTCAGCACAAGCATTTGAAATGGTTTGGAAAAATGTATGCAGTAGTGGTATTGACAGAAGTTCAGCCTTCTATCCATGAGCAGGCATGAGACTGTGTTTGAGTTCTACCACTGGGCATTTCAAAGAGTGTCACTGATGAGCTGAATATGGATATTGGATTGCTAATAAGCTGAGTGCTCCAGTCATGTTGCTGAGCCTCTTCTTTCCTAGATACTGAATACCCCTTGTCTTATGTTATGTAACTTTCTGTTGGTGCCACCAGTGCTGACAGCGGCAGAACACAAGGACTGCTCGTGTCTAAAAATGTCCTTCTAATACCCCCTCCTGAGTCTTAGAAGTGAAAGGAGGAAGGACAAGGCGTTGCTGTGACACGGAACAGTGGGGAACATAACTAGCGAACAAAATCCTCAGGTCTTTTCTTTGTGCAGTGAATTCTGACCCCTGAAAAAAAAAGCCTCATGCTGCACGCCAGAATTGTACCAGAAAAAAATCATTATCATAAAATGTTCCACTGCTGCCATATATAGGTTCAAATGTCAGCATTTTTGTTTAGCTATGTATGGTAGTATTATAAAGTATATGCATGGAAATATTGAATAACAAGTTGGAGTTACCACAACTTTTTCTGTCTCTAAATCTGGTATTAAAAAAGAGGAAGTTACTTTAAATATTTCCATGCCCATGATAGTTCAGCAGTAAGCAGGCCATGTAGAGGATCTATGGTGCTCATTTTCCTTCCCTGGCTGAGAATGTCAGTGTATTGCACTTGTTGTAGAGGCAGAGCAATGGTCTCAGCCCAGTTGTTCATCAGCACTTTGTGCCATAATCTGCATTTAAGTACAAGAGACTTGGATTTAACCTTAAAACTTTTCTGTGCTAATAGCTAAATACAGCCCAAAGCCAGGAGCAAGTGTCATAAAACACCATTTTTATTGCACTAACATGTCATAAAGGTAATTGTCTTTCTCTCTCTCTCTCTCTCTCTCTCACACACACACACACACACACACACACACACACACACACACACACACACACACACACACACTGGCCCTTAAACACTGCTGTAAAGCTTTGTTTCCTCCAACTGTCGCCACAAAGAGTCCCAAGAGTGCCACTTCACATTTTGCAGAGCCAGTTCAGAGACAGGAACCTTGGAGAACACTTTTAAGTCACAGACGGCAATATAATTGTAATATTCTGACTGTATTTGGGGTAAGAGGATAGTTATTGGTCAGTTTTCGTCACATCTACAAGCTTGAAACAGCAGCTGACCTTTTGCTAAGCCCCCATCCCCCTTAGTTACTGTTGGTACGCCTATCAAGCTTTCTGTGCTTGAAGTTTAAAATGATGACCAAGACAAATTTAAAATTGAAATTCCTGCTCAACTTTGAAGCAATCATGGGGTCCTTGATTGTCTTTTTGTTTCCAACTGTAATGACAACAATTGCTGGTGGTTTTCTTCGCCATAGCAAGCTAGCTGTTTAAGCTAACATTAGCAGTGTCTTACATCACACGTCACACGGAGTGTTGTGTTTTTCGCCGGCTCGCTTTGCGTCGTCTTGGCACTTTTTTGATAAACCACGAAACCATAACCTAAAAAGTTGTTTATTAGCCTAGACTCTGCCTCAACCCGCCTGGAGGTAAAAACCTACAGGAGACCTGACATCAAACCGTAACTTCAGAGATGATTTTTAATTTTGTCTTTTGTGATCAACAATTTACGAAGATACTCTTAGATTTATGCTCCTTGTACTGCTGGCACAGCTGCAACCCTGACTAGCGTTAGACCTCCCTGTGGATTTTCAAACACCTTTTACCTGGCTGCTAATAAATTCTCAAATTGACCATCATTACGTTATACGGAAAATATGTTGAACTAGACAGTGCGAATATATTTTGACATTTAGATGGACGAAATTATGTCCAACAACAATAATCTCCTCAGATGGGGGGGGGGGGTCTGTATTGTGATATCAGTGTAAGGTTAGTGTCTTGCATCAAGAAATGCACTGACCAAATAAGCCTACAAGGCAGACTTTGAATTTTCATCTAAGCCTACATACGTGTGAGACCATATAAATGATAGAAAAACCATGAATAGTGTATTCTGTATGCCTTCATGCATACATACATCAAACAAATAGATCTGATTTTCTATGTGTTTATTATTCAGTTGAGTTTGCCTTATTGCCCCAGCTATAAAAATAGAACTAACCTATACTTTGCCACTCAGTCCAACTTCTCATTTTCATCAAACCAAATGAATCCAGGATTTTTGTTTTGAATTCTTACACTGCACTCAGGTTTTCATACAGAGTACGAACATGCAATCAGAGCACAGGGTGAGATGGTCCCGGAGCTCGTTGAAGCATGCACTGCTGCGTCCTGCAAAACCACACCCATCAGGTGAAATACTGTGTTTAGGGAGTCCCGTCTCTAGCTGACTCCTTATATTTTCCAACTGACTTGTTTTAAAAGGAGAACCCTGCATTGAATGTGAACTCAATGGCTACACACATGATGTGCAGAAAGCCAGCATCATGACCAGTTTGTCCATGTGGATGAAATGGAAATAAAGACACAGCATTGTTCTTGTATTGCAGAGTAGAGATAGTTAGTCCTAGTATTATATTACAAGTATGATAAGCTGTGTGGCTGCTATGGCCAGCTTACATATTTTTACAAGCAAGACAGAAGTTGTATTTTTTACTCTTTGTATTTTCAAGCAGTGCATTTCACTTCAAGAGGAAAAGCTTTTAGGTTAAGGACTAACAAATGTCTTTTGCAAATATAACTTTATCTTTGGCAACAAGTTTGGTTATATTGGGTGTAGATTTATCCAAATCCAATAAAGAACAGGACACATATATTTAATGCAACCTCTATCCCCACAAAGTATTGAAGCCTTTTTGGTCTTGGAGCTATGCTAGGTTAGTAAGGTAGTTAGCTGGACATGCTAACGTTTGCAGCTTATGTTAGAGCAGATAAACGCAGTGTTTAATCCATACCTCAGACTTTTGCTCTTGTATTTTTTAGTTTGGAAAAGCTACAGAAAATCTCTATATATAATCACCCTTAAAGCTACAGTTGGTACCTTTTTGGAAAATAACTACGAGACAAATAATTTGAAGAAAATAACAACCGTCCTTCTCCTTCTACTGCTTCTAATGGAGTTCACTAGAATCAACCATGGCTCACAGAAGACGAGCCACTGTCACAAGGAATCTCTAATGCAGCTGTCAGACATGTCAATCACTTCTCATTATGTGATCAAACTGTCAAATTAGGAAGGGCTGGTCAAATATGAATCAAGATTCTGTTACTTGAATATTTTCAGAAATATATTTTAGTGTACTGTTTAGCTGTAAAATGAAAAAGCTGGTCCAGCTGGTGGGCGGTGCTTGGTGCTTTGATCGACTGTATCCAACATCGCGGTCAGATCACAAACGTTCTCATTTTACAGCTAAAAAATACACTAAAATATGTTTCTAAAAACATTTGAATTTTGAATGATATTTGATCAGCTGTGCCTACTTTGACAATTTGACTGCAGTTCATGGAGCGATTGACATGATTGACAGCTGCATTAGAGACTCCTCGGCTCTGATTGGCTGTTTTTGTTCACGTGTGGTAAGGCCATTAGAATTGCTACAAGTCGATAGAGTTGGCATTCAGTGCTGTGTGAATATAGTGACCATTTCAGCAAATATGGCAAAAGTCATTTTTTAGCTTTAATGCAGCCTAATGCTACTTCAACTGATTAGAAATTTAAAAAGCTTGTAGGAGGAGCTGTGCATTTATATGGTTGCTAGCCTATAATTGAGAAATTGCTGTCTTGAGAAAAAGTTTAGTAAATGGTAAGCTCTTCAAGGATGTTGTTCATTTATTTTCTTATTTAAATTAATTGGCATGCACAAAGTTGCTTCTTTTTTTTCCTCCTGAGCAGATTTACAGTGACCATGAGCTTTTCTTTCTCCCTTCCAAAAATGTAATATTTGCTTTACTAAATAAATAACATCCACTCCTCCCTGCGGGTTATTTCACACAGTGTTTTAACCCATTTCAAGTACCTCATCCTCGTCTCCGAAAGCTGCTTTCCAAAGCACGAGTCTCTGTCAAAAAAGGCATTCGCTACTCTTTTCATCGACAGTGTCATTTAATGAGAGGCACTTACAGTAGACTCTAACACAATTAGGTGTTTCATGACAACCTCGGTAAGAAAATTAATCTCTCAAATGAAATTGGTCTTGGTGCTCAGTATGTCACCCAGTGGGATGTGACTTCATTTCTATTCATTGACCCTCTATGAATTAAAGCTCATTTCCTGAACGTGTCGCTTCTCATAGGCTCCCGCAGCAGGATGCAGGCTTTGAACCGTACCAGCTCAGAAAACCTTCCCCTCTTTCCATTTGATTCAAGGATTAGATTTGATTACAGATTTGAGCTGGACAACCTCTGCGACAGCCGTGCAGTCCCCCCGCCCCCATGTCTTCTTGTTAAATTTACATAAAGCAGATGGGATTTTGGCTTGAGATTCTTCTGATTCTCCCATGTTTCATGAGCACAACAAGGATGGGTACAACACATTAGAAAAAAAAAACAGCTGTAGTCATATAGGGATTCATTTGTTGACTGATATATTGCTACCAGCAACTGTTGCTTCAGTGAACAGGTCAACGATTGGCATCGATAGCTTTCAAAAAAATCCTTCAAAATGACATTCAGCTATTGTCATTGCCTTGTACTTATCTACAAACAATACACTGTTTCACTCGACACATCTTGTCTCAAATGTCATGTCACTACTTAATAAAATTACTACTGTTCAACAACAAGACAGAGACATGTTTTTCTTTTTCCCTTTGGTGGAAGTGTATTGTGTAAGTGTGTATGTAAACATAGTTTTGACAGCAGCTCTCAAATGAAGAGAACCACGTGCCACACAAGCAAAGAAATAATACAACCAAACTCTTTGCGCACTCATAGTCCACATCTAGGACAGGTCGGCAGCAATAGAAAACAAGTAATACATTTTTTTGTTTCGCGTAGTCATGAAAATATCTGTTTTATACAAAAATTAAATACAGTTACAGTATGTTACAACTTTTTTCCCCCCCCGTACAGGTGAGCTCAAGCATGACTACAAAGCCTCTGAAGAAAGAAAAAAGAAGAAGGACTAGATTGGTACTTGTAGAGGGGCTTGATAATAATACATGTGCAGCATTTGGCAAAACAGACACCCTTCAGCAAAGTAAAATCACCAGAGTCACCAAAGCACAGGGAGGAGAGGGTGAAGGGAAAGGGGAAGAGTGAGGAAAGAAGAGAAGCAAGTAAGGAGGGAGGCAGTGAGGCAAGATGTTTTAAGATGTCCCCGTCCACATTATTATTTTTTAATAACTTCAGATGATACTTAGAAATCATGTGTCTAGTTTTGTACAGTTTGCTCTCAGAGTGTGGGTAGCTCTATCTGAGTCTGCAGTCTGCCTTTAACGAAGTATCAGCCAATGACATTATCACAAAGCAACTGCTCCAACTGCTCTCTCTGTGACATTATAAGACAGCAGTGACTTCAACAAGCCTTTCATAAATCCATCTAGCATTCAGTATAACAGATCAGTGCACAACCTGTTGCATCTAGTAACACTGTCACCCACCACTGTGGCCTTGGATATACAAAAGAGTTGCTTATATTGTATGCTGAGCACATTGTCCACACATCCTTTGTCCTTTATGTCCTTAAGGTTGAGAGTTCAGTCTCAACATATGTGGTCTTAGGGTTTTGGTTGAGGGGTGGGAGGCCGTTCAGGTCTCTCAGCAAAGGGAAACAATCAATAGCGGGAGCACTACAAGGGTAAGAGTGAGCTGGCGGCTGATGGGGGGATGATGGAAGGAGGCCCGTCCAGACAATTGGTCATCACACTCCCCGGGGCCCTGGCAGCGAACTCTCTCGCACAGGACGCCCGTGAAGCCGGGGGAACAATGGCACCGCTGATGGTGGTGGCAAGTGCCACCGTTCTGACAGCGCAGCATCGCGTTGTCACACACCCGAGCTGCGGAGACAAAGCAAAAAGGGCAGGGGGAGACAGGAAGGGGTGATTAATAGATCACTCAGCGATAGGGCGGCAGAGAACATCAACAGGCAAGTTCACAGGGCACAAGCTGCCTCTTCTTGTCCTGTCTGCATCGCTCTGTGTCCTTAGAGCACAGCTGACACATTAGGGAGGGTGAAGCCAAGGACTTTTGTGGAGGAGTGCGCAGAGGAAGAGGAGACAGATAACCAGGGCACGTACTGTATGAATACTAGAATGCAGCCCACAGCCTGTGTCAACCCTCTCCATGAATGATTGTTCATGACAAAAGAACACAGACAGACATTTTCTGGGTTTATGGATATTTTTAGGAGCACCAAAGGGACTTTAGAGCAAATAATCCTGGCAAAACAAAAGAGCAAACAATCCATGGCAGTGATGAGGTGAAATTAATGATTAGTGAATCAAAGGATGCCAGAGTATTGTGAAACAGCCCCCCCTGTGCAGGACAGGAGATTAAATTTTGCTTCCCTCTGGCACGGTGACACTCAAAGAACAGAAAGAGGAGAAGGCATGGGGATGGATACCTGGCTCCACCTGCACCACCACTACCTTTTGATATGCAAATACGCATTTTCAGTAATTCACCAATTGCTCTTATTTTCCTCTCTGCAGTTGACCTCACAACAAACAATATGGCCCTGTTAGAAGAAAATGATGTTACATCCAGGACTGCATTGTTCTAGTGGCCACCAAACATTGCTTTGTTTTGATAGAGATTGATTACGAATACATAAGCTCATATTCACATTTCCAGACAAAAACTCACGACTCAATTATCCCAGGAAGCCTCTCTGCTGGCAGAGGTGAAATCCTGGAAGAGGTAATATTTGCCGAGAGATTTCAGTGTAATTGGATATCTCTCCTTGCATAAATAGTAATCACATTTTTGGTTTTCGGTAATGTGGCTCATGCATCAGAATAAACTCAACAAATAATCATTGCTCCTGCCAAAACTGATTAAAAAGGCATTGGTATTGCATTTAATGTAATAATATTCCCATCCCCTTCAGACAGACACGGCTGCTGTTATGTGCTTCAAATGGAAACTCCACCTGTGGATAGAGGGTTTTATCATCAATAAGGGATTTTTAATAATTCGGTGATGAAGTGTTACAAATTACTCTTCTGGTGAACCTGCTTTCCTTCCTTGAAAACCCTGAGAGGTTTGGTGTGTCAGCCTCGTCGTGTTTTTACCTATTTATAGAGAGACTGATAGTGATAGCATTATAAGAGCAAATACAGCAGCTATTCGTCAGTCAAACTCCTTACTTAAAATGCAGCACTTCTAGGGGCTGCATTGCATGATAGATTTCTCCCTGTATGATTGTTGAACGCTGGTGCAAAATAATGAGTCTGGCAAGAAGCCACTGCTCCTCCATTCAAAGACTGACAACAAAACCTGACATTTACAATTGATGATATAGATAGATTACAAATTTTCATCCATAAAAACCTTGAGCTGATGCTGAAAATATGACATCATAATGTGTATATTTAGATGTGACACAGAAAATAGACGCAACAGACCCTGATCTGCAAATCAAATCACGAATAAGCTGTTTGTGTACATTCAGGTCACTTTGAAAGGCAAATCAATACCGAACAAGAAAAATGATAATTTTCATAATTGGAGGCAGTAGTGCAGCTTTGAAAGGGGCTTAATTGGAATTACTTTATTATTAATGTGTGTATTAGAGGCTGGCATGCCATGGCTTCCAGCCACGACCACCGACAGTTTCTGCACTGCAGGTTCTGCCCAACATTTGTGTACACATTTTGGGATTGCATGCTGATGCAAATCGAGGATTTAATACTTAAAGGTCCAGTGTGTAGGATTTAGTGACATCTAGTGGTGAGGTTGCAGAACTGAAACTTCTCTTGTGTGGAGGAGAACTATAATGCCCAGTGCAAAAACACGAGCCAGTATTTGATTTGTCAGTTCTGGGCTACTGCAGAAAAAAAACAAGTCCATGGAAAAGAACCCACTCTCTAATGAAACACAAAGATTCTTAAGCCCTGTCTCCACCAAGCAGTATGGTACAATTCAGTTCAGCCTGGTATGCTTTTTTGTTTCCACTGTGAAAACTCGTGGATAGTACCAATGGAACCGTTCCTTACCGTCCTTATTTTTGTTCCCCCCTCTGTTGGGGTACCTAGCACACAGATCTGGTACTAAAAGGTGAAGCTGTGAACATTGCAGTCCATTGACTGGCCAATAGCAGACAGTCACTCTGCTCAGGGCTGAGTTGTGGCTGGTTTTGAGGCTCATGTAACCTCTGTTTTACATATATTAGTAGACTGTACCTATAGAATAAAGGATGTTTTGCTGTCTCTTGCAGCAGCTGGAGTCAGAGAAAGAATATCTGAAGGGTTACTTTTGGTTCCAAGTGTACTACACCGGAAATGTTGGTGGAACCATGGCTTTTGTTTCAGGTGATTCTAAACTCATGAAAACATAATTATGAATATGTGTCATTTCTGACAATAGATAAATCCTACATACTGGACCTTTAACGTGGCTATAATCAATATTTTTGTAATAACAGAGGATCAAATTACTATACTTAAATTAACTCTGTGGTACCCGCAGCTCTATTGAGCTCGGTGATTTCACTTGTGATTTGAGATTTTCGGAGATTTGATAGTGACTTTCAGCTTTGGTTTCCTGGCCTTCAAATATTCTGTTTTGGTTCACCCTCACTGCTTGACAGTATTGTTTTCGGCAGCAGCAGGCAGCTGTTCTAAGCAACTAAAACTTTAAAAACCCACTCTACACTACGTGGCCAGCATGCAGACAGAGAGTTAGCACCGAGCTCCTGAACAACAGTGGAGCATTTACCAGCTTAAGGGAAAACTTCACCCACAAAATGACCATTTGTAGATCAATTAGTTATGCCATGTTATCTTGAATTTATGAAGAAAACTTTCTCGCATGCCTCATGAAAACGGCAAACATGTTGGGTTATAGATAGATCACAACATCTGTTTACAAACTCTCACACAGCTTGTGCAGTATAATCCAAGTCTCATTTATCCAGTCATTTGCTCAGTACTTCCCAAAAACACATGCATTTTTGCTTAAAAAAAAAAAAAAAACCTTACTATTGGACTCTGACTTTAAAGAGAGCATAGATGCATTTCACCTTCCGTTCACTTTTTAGTGGAAATGCATATGGCAATTTTGTAGATGAAGTATTCTTTTAAGAGACAGATATTTCCCTCAGGAGTTGGCAGAGATCAAAAACAGCTAAATGGAGACTGAATCTTAAATACATGTTGATTTGTGTTTGCAGGTCCGCAATACCATCTTAAAAGTGATAATATGTCGATGTTATGTTCACAGCTTGTTTCCACTAGTCTCAAGTGACTAAGTTATTGCAGGTTTGATTATACTTTAATTGTAATGCTTATAATCAAGCCTAACTCTAACCCAAACCTGTCCCCACACGCAATATAAGCTTAAACCCAGCTGATACGCACCTCAGGCCCTGACAGCCTCAGTCCAAGACTGACAGGACCAAGACTTCTTCTCAGTCCACTCATGCCCAACAAATGAACACCTTACAAGTGCAAAAGTGTCTGTACTTGAACTTTGCACGTGTGAAAATGGACTCCTGAATTACAGAGTGCTGCTGCCCTGTCCTCAGTGGGTTCAAACATTAATGGCCCTCTGGCTACACCCCAATCAGTGATGTCAAAGCAGCTTCCTCATTTTACAGCTAATGGAAAACACCTGTTCTGTGTTTTGGTAAAAATCACCATGGGATGAGCTGAGTCTCTATTGCCTAGTCTACACATTAACTTTTTTTTTTTTCCTGTGGCCGAAGGATAATCTCTGTGTCCTCCAGCAAACCCTCAGGACCATTGTCTTTCTAAAAGCATCTGTAGCCCAATTAGTTTGCTGATAGCGAGGCTTAAGCCTGGGTTGTCTTTGTGGAGCCACAGGGCACTGCTGTCATGACAGAATACAGTCAAAATCAAAATAAGTCAATTATTCTGTGTCGCTCAGAAAAATATCTCACACAGTGACTGGGTATGAGTGAAATAATAAAAAGTTGGTAAGTTGGTGTTTTCAGATACTATCTATTATAGATAAGATGAGCATGTCAGTGAAACTCTGTCTGTGTTAACTCAACACAGTGAGTCAGATTTGTCATTTTGGGCTATATTAAGGAAAGGAATTGTAATTATCTCCTATGAAAAGCCAAAAGTGTGTGTGGAAAGAGAGAGAATGTTGAAAGGGGCTCCTCGGGAATTTAGTATTGCACCTCTGTAGAATTTGGGGACTTACAAGAGAGAGATCTGAAAAAGAATCGTCAAAATTAAAGCAGCAGAGCCTGATATATCCTCACCTTTCTGGGCCGTCCACTTTAAGAACAATACTGTAACAATATCTACTGTATATCGTTTGAATAATCATTATAACTCAAGTGGATTATGAGTCCACTCCGCAACTATAAAGACAATGGCAGTGGCGAATGTTATCGTTGAGATCACTCTCAGAGCGATTTGATGAACATAGTGTTGCACGGTATACTGGTACTAAAATAGTACCGCGTTACTAGAGTATTCCAAACGGTACTATACTGCATTTGGAAAATGCCGGTACTTTTTAAATTGATTCAGTTCATTAATTTATTTAATTTATTTAATTCATTTATGCACACAAACGTCTTCCGTGTTCCTACTGGAGCACAGATTGCACAACTGGTGTGTATGACAACACCTGTATCAACATTCGCAGCTGGCGCACGTGAAAAAAGACAAGAGAAAGTCTGCCTCGCAAAGGGAGACAACACGAGACAACACAAACTTGGTAAAACATTTGAGCAACCAAACCATGACGTCCGTACCGAGGTACTTACCGAACCATGATTTTTTTTTTTTTTTTTTTTTTTTTTTTGGTACCGTTACACCCCTAATATTTATTGTTCTAAAGGTTTGTATCCAAAAGGACT